AAGACACTTAGAGGAAGGAGGATACAGACTAGATAACTTTCAGAAAGTCCCTTTTCTTCTCTGAGTCATACAAGCATTCAAGAACATTGAAAAATTTTGCCTTTTCTGGCTATAGAAACAGGAAGGTGACTACATTGGTTTATGCAACCACAGGCTATAAAACCTAGATAAATTATTACGTGTGACAGCATGCTAACATGAATATATCACACAGTCACTTTAAAAATACATGCTTTAAATTTATGCCTTCAGATTACATATGAAATCAGAAAGATTGTTGAAAAAGTACTTATCCTATGTTTTGCATTTTGCATGTAATGAAGCATGCGTATAGACACTTATTAGATTTTTTCAATTAATTTCAAAACAAAGTTTTTCTAAATATAGATTTAAAATTCCATTTAAACCAGTAAGACTTTAGAGTCACTGCTTTACTGACACAGGTATGTCAATTTACACTAAATATAGGTATGGTCCATAAGCTTTTACTTGTACTCAGACACTCGGTGTTTGAAGCAATTGTCACTGAAGTCTCATTTTTTTAAATGGAAGAAGAAGAACAACAGTGCTGATTTATACGAACAGAAGCTCTCACCCTTGAACAGTGGCCCTAGAAGCGGCACCAAGAGCTACGTCCACATGACTATCACTGGATTCCCATAACTTCGTCAGAGTTTTGGAAGGGCAAAGAATGAAGGGGTCATGCCAGAGCTTGATAAGACGCGCACTGACAAGTCTCTCATGCAAAGCTAATTGCAGACGGAAAGTCAGAGCTTCTGAAAAGATCTTCTGTTTATCACTTTTTTTGTGATTTTCTCAGGCTTTTGAAAGAATAGACCTTCTTGCCTCTTCCCTCCTTTTAATCATGCACTCTGTGTATAACTTTGCTCAAAAAGTTTTCCAATAAATCTCAAAGATTTCTCTTAATTCAATATCAAATTTTAAATTGTCAGTAATACTAATGATACAGCCCTTTCAAACGCAGAGCTCAGGAGAATTTAGGGGTTCACCGTCCCAAGCTATGTATAGAATTTAGTTTTCCACAATGAATTAGATACTCTCCAACATAACTGCTCCTAAGTTTTGTGCGTTACTTTTCCTTGTGAATTCAAGGAAATAAGTGAGAAACAGTACTTATGGAAACACTTCCTCTGGAAGTCCTTCCAGCCTCCCTCTGATCCTGTCCTTAGAGCTCCTGAAGGCACCTTGGAGATCTCAGGATGGACTTCAAGCACACCCAGGGAAGAGCTGCAGGTTTGGTGCTTGGATCAATCGCTTTGTGCATGAAAGTGTGACTCTGCCCCCAGCATCTCAGAGACCAGGAAATGAGTACCATGATCAAAGCTTACACCTTTTCCTACTACCTAGCCTTGCTCGTAGAACAAAAGCACACTAGGACCTGACTTCACAGGAAAAAGGAAACTATGCCTTAAAGTGTTGCATTGTTTAAAATGTAAATGTACTGAAAGTTGAGTTATATCTATGATTAATAGAAACATGCTGCTGTTCAGCTCTTCAAGCAAATGGGGAAGATGCTGTTGAGAAAAGGACATGCGAAGGCATTCTTTAAGGTCTTCATTTTCCTACGTCATTATGCCTAACTCATTATTTTTAATAGTTTGGTTCCTTTACCTAAGTTAAGCCTTGGGATTGATTATCCTGTCTTCTGTTTCACTAAGCAAAACATTTGACCTGGCACTACTGGGGACTACTTTGCTGTAACCCCACTACCTATGTTCCCTGATACATGCTTGTGCCTTTCACCTTTCTTTCTTGTTTCCAAAAACCCAAGTCAAGTCCAGGAACTACAGAAAGTCCTTTAGGCCCCTAGTTAAGGGCTTAAGTGAGGTGCAAGTGGTCCCTTGGTCTCCTGCTGTTCTGAAAGGGCTCATAACAAATATAATTTATTTTCTTTTGCATTCAATATATTCATTACTCTACTGTTGATTACAATTAAAAATCAACTGAAACAAATATCATGTCTTTAGAAAAGTTACCATAGAAACAACACCAGAGAATTCCCTTTAAAAATGTCAAGATTTCCCTCACATTTAAATATGGACTCCCAGGCATTACTCATGCACCATTAAAAACTGCAACATATCCAGTGAGTCATTAGTT